GCAGTGGTGATTTAAGCTTGATGACTGGGGGATGGGTGGAATGAAATGAAAGTGGAAGCTGTAACTGACTCATCTGTTTGTGCAATTATGGCAGATGGAAAAAGGAATTGATATTTCAGACTGATGATGAAAGGGTCCAGAAATCTGTGGGAACAAGTAAATTTACATCACAGTTCCTGGAAATTGTGCTATTGGGTCAAGCTTTACATTTTGTCCATACTAGTGTTTAGGCCTGCGTTTTGGTGAGATGGGCAGTTGTTGAATGCTGTCTCTTTTCATCATCACACATATCGTTCAAACTGCATTGTTCAAAATTGTTGGTTGTTCTCAGACTTGTGTGACTTGTGTAGTCCTATCTGTCCTTACTTAAAATAGCCGTTGCTATTAGTTACTGCAAGAGTTTTCAGTAGTTGTCTGGGTAATCATGTGAGAATGGTTGAGTTACTTTCCATGAGTTCTTACGTAGACTTGTTTGTCAGCCATGCCAAATTATGTGTCATTTGCACCAAAGAGATCAATATCACATTCACAATGTTTTTTTTTCCATGATGGAAAGGGGTGTGGGTAGTCAAGAGGTGGAGCACACATGCTTTAAGAGTTTGACTGATATTTTTTAAAACAATTTATAACTTTTTTTCATAGTGAAACCTGTTTTTTTTTATCTTAATTTTAATAATAGGTCAATGAAACCGCTTACTTTTTGTCCTAACTATTAATTTAAGATAATTTTGGTAAAATATAAAATATCATCTTGATATCATAATAAAAATTCTTTAAAAAAAACATAAATGTAACAAATAACTTTTGGGTTATTTGGTGCAACCAACATACAGAGAAAAACAAAACAAAACACGAAATGGTATCATAGAGAGGACATACAGACCCGCATAACCCTCATTTCTCAGACCTCATTATAAAATATCAGATAATTTGACTTGTTTATGAAAAGGCAAGGTTAATTCAAAGTAATGTGGTGCGACTCCCTGAAAAGTAATCATATTTATGGGGTCCGATTTAGTGGTCGACTGATGTTGTTTTTTGATGGCCATGCAGGGTGGCTGATATATTTATTTTAATTCATAGATTAATAAGTTAGAAATAACTTGAAAATAAATACATTTCTAAATTAAAGACTTACTTTAGATGGCAAATTCTTGATATTGTAATGGTATTACAGTATTTTTCACAAATAAAGAAATTGTTGGAATAAATATGTATAAAAAAGAAGTAAACACTGTAACCAACAGGGCACTTAGTCGGTTAGTCTGGTAAGTGTGTGGGGACTGGGATTCTTATTTTTAAAAATAAAGACAAGGTAGCCTAACACTAATTTTACTAACAGCACAGTGAAAATGACATGAATATGACATAGTAGGCATCCGAATAACGCGCAGCATAGTTTGAGTGTTCTCAGCGCCGTCAAAATAAGTCTTCTTTCCCAACACATCGGCCAAACGGGGGAAAAGGAGGTAAATATCGTCCGATAGGCTATATCGGCCTTGGTGACATCGGTCAACCACTAGGGTCAGAATTACTAATGGCTTGCACCAGCGCAAACCTACTTTTATCGTTGAAAAACTATTGTCAGGAAAATGGGGAGAGAGATGCAAGGTGATTTACTGAGGTTAGCTCTTGTCAATTTTCTGGTATTTGTGTCATTATAACGGCCCAAAAAAGAATATCTTAAACGCTAATTTGCTGTGCTCTTAGTAGATTGCGTTGGTCATTATGGAAATGATCCGGCTGCATCTGTGTTCTATAATTTTTTCAGTAGATCACACGCAGATCTTTCCTCTCCCAAAGGGGCTGCAATCTCTTGCTAATTTGGTATATCTGGACCATGAAATTTTATTTTCTACTGAACATATTACAAAGGTTTTTCAAAACCACATGAAACCAACATAAATATCTGGTGTGTGCTCACAGAGAAAACTGTTACTATTTCTGTAGATTGAATTCTAATCTTGATTGTGAGTAATAATATCTTGGCAGGATTGAAGTTGCTAGGCTATTGCATCTCATTCTGTTTGTTTTGACTGCGAGCAGACAAGCTTTGTTGTATAACTTCTGTCTCGCCTGAAGACATGCGATTATCCTGAATCAATGGGAACAAGCAAGACCCATCACATATGATGTTTTGCTGTTATAAAAACATGCATTTGAAGCCTCAGAGTATTTTAGATCCTGTATTGTGTATTGAGTGAACATCCGCTAAGCATCTGCTATGACAGTCTGCTGAATGTCTGGCACCCCTGGTGTCATGACAGATTTTGCCCCCCGTGACATTGCCAGGTGGAGGATAATTGAAAGAACTTGAGTTTGTTTTTCGGGTGGATTAGAGATGACAAACAAATTTTGTAATTGAGATGTTTTTAGGGATTTACAAAATGACATCCACCCTAAATGTTTGGGGTTGGTAAGATTTTTAAATGTTTTTGCAAAGAAGCCTCTTATGCTCACCAAGGCTGCATTTATTTTACTTAGTAATATTGTGAAATATTTAGGATAGTTTTGTCAAGATTCTTCGATTAAATTCGAGTACTCTTTAAAAAAATCCTCTATTGCAATTGACCTGTGTCAATTCAACCAGCAAAATACCGGAAGTGGTGCCTTGAGAATCCTTAGCTGCACAATATATTTAAACCATTTAAAAATTATATACTATAGCATGGTGCTATTTTGAAATCATAAAGCCTGTCAATTAAATAAATATACACTGTTTCAGAGTAAAGCACGGCACTTTAATTATTCACATGTGCAGGCTATGTTAATCAGAGCTGCTCCATTCTCAGTGGACTCAGTCTCTCCATGTGATGTTTACTTGGGTTTCCAATAAAGTGCATTTAGGAACGCATATAAAGTCTGACGCGCTTTGTGTTTCATAGGCTTGCTGTTATGATTTACATGCGTGGATTGCTCTGCAGCTCGGTTAACTCCAATTAATTGTGCACCATTTCACCAGATTTGTAACGTAAATCATAAACCTACGCCAACATCAATGTTTCTAAAAATGTGAATTGTTGTTCATTGCAATTTCAAAATAAAAGTTTAAACATAAACTTTGTTTAACATAGTGGTAGCATTGCCATCTGAATGTCTCAACAGAAATCGAGACTCATCAGACCAGGAAACATTTTTTTCCAGTCTCCAACTGTCCAATTTTGGTGAGCTCTTGCTAATTGTAGCCTTCCTATTTGTAGTGGAGATGAGTGGTACCCAGTGGGGTCTTCTGCTGTTGTAGCCCATCCGCCTCAAGGTTGTGCGTGTTGTGGCTTCCCAAATGCTTTGCTGCATACCTCAGTTGTAACGAGTGGTTATTTCAGTTAAAGTTGCTCTTCTATCAGCTTGAATCAGTCGGCCCATTCTCTTCTGACCTCTAGCATGGACTCACAGTGACAGGACTGCCGCATACTGGATGTTTTTCCCTTTTCACACCATTGTTTGTAAACCCTAGAAATGGTTGTTCGTGAAAATCCCAGTAACTGAGCAGATTGTGAAATACTCAGACTGGCCTGTCTGGCACCAACAACCATGCCACGCTTAAAATTGCTTAAATCACCTTTCTTTCCCATTCTTTCCCATTCTGACATTCAGTTTGGAGTTCACGACACGAGTCTTGACCAGGACCACACCCCTAAATGTATTGAAGCAACTGCCTTGTGATTGGTTGATTAGATAATTGCATTAACAAGAAATTGAAAAGGTGTTCCTAATAATACTTTAGGTGAGTGCATATGACATTATGTATTCTAACAGTGTTCATTAAAACCATGTGATGACTTGCTTGCGATACTTTTATTTCAACCAGTTATTATTATTATAGGCTACATATATTTTAAAGGGGACTTATTATGCAAAATTCACCTTTACATGGTGTTTGAAATGTGTGTCGGCAGTGTGTGTGCATGGTAAAAATCCACCGACTCCTCTTTTTTAATCCCCATAAATCATAAGCAGTGTCTCAGGACAAGCTATTTGCAGAGTGTAGCTTTTGTGACATCACATTGAACAAGCCCCGCCCTCGACTGCTGATGGACTCCGCTCTTGGCATAAACCCGTCTGATAAAACCTGAGTGAACTGTATACAGTGTGCCATGTTTAGCAGAATTAGAGAAAGAAATGTATTCCATTAAAGCTGCTAGTTATTCAATCAAGAGCAGTGAGTGATTTTCTGTTTTTGTTTTGTTGTTTGATTAATATTAACAGCATATATATATATATTGCAGTACTGTATATTCCGCTGCTTTTTCTTTTATACAAATTTATAATATAGGCTACACATGCAATTTCTTTACTTGTGGTTTATGTGAACTTTGTGTGTTTTTGACGTATTCTTGTGTGTATTTGACAGTTTAAGTGTAATATCACGTGAAAGAGAACTTAGTTTAATATTCACGTGAAGCTCCGTCTAATATCAAGCTCACTCTGTGCGCGTGCTTCGGATGTGTGCGTTCAGAAAGCCATATAGAAGTTAAGACTGATTTGGCTTAAACATTCATAATGAAGAACTATAACTTCACATGAGTGTGACATTGATAGAGATGATAATCAAAACCAAACACGTTTTAGTTTTTGGCAAAATATAGAAGGCACAAGCTGTAGAGGCTCCGCCCTCTTCTGGAAAGCAGGGTGGGGAGCAGCAGCTCATTTGCATTTAAAGAAACGGTATTTTTTCTGCCATTAAAACATGGTGTAATACATGAACTCTGGGGTATTTTGAGCTGAAACTTCAGGCACATTCTGGAGACACCTGAGACTTTTATATTACATCTTGTAAAAAGGGCATAATAGGTCTCCTTTAAGTCGTTTTAAAAGGTATTTTTCACTTGGGTCTATTTTTTATTACCACAAAACATTCGTAATCTGGCGATTACTCGATTACCAAAATATTTGTTAGTGACACAGCCCTGAATTTAGTTTTAGTTCATAGGAGAGAAGTTAATTTTTTTTTTGTTGCTCTCATATTAATGTTCTTGTCATGCTTCTTTCTCTCTTTAAAGGGTCCAGCGGAGTTCGAAAGATGACTATTACGGAGGTAAGCTTGTTCTCATGTTGATGACTGTGTAGTTTCGTAGTTTTCGTAGTTTCAATTATTCTGTCAGAATAATTTAACTAGAAGTTAAACACATACTCAAATGCATACACCATAAGGGCAAGGATCATACCTTAGGTTGACAAGTCTTCCCAGTGCGTAGTGGGATATTATTTTGATCATTATAACCGTACGTTCACACCGCCACCGACTTGAGCTTCCAAAGCAAGTCATTCATTTTCAATGGAAGCTGGCTTTTTTTTAGCTGCAAGGAGCGTCAAATGCATCGGCGACCCGTTTTGGGCGTCAATCAGAAAGTTGAAAGAAGGTCAACTTTATGGTAATGAGCTGTGACGCGGTTCAGCGGCAAGCAGCGGCAAAACGCCAGCAACCAATCGGAATATACACATGTAAACTTTCGTTCCTACCAAGACATTAGTTCCGAGAAAATGGAAGAGAAGCTAATAATCGCAGTTGCTGTGATTCCTACTGGTTTCGTATCATTCGACATTGTTTGTTTGCTTATAGGGACCGCATGAGCGCAACTTTTATTTGAAATATGTTCGAACGCTCGTTTTAAAGCGGTAATACAATTAATTTGCTCATAGTGACACTGATTTGACCGTAAATAATAATAATAATAATAATAGCTAACTATTTTTTCCCGACCAAATGTGACCAAAACAGTTATAAAAATGCTGTAATTATAAAAGGTTTCTTTATGTATTGCTTGGTTTTTTCTGTTTATTACATTTCATGTTGTGACACTTCTATTTTCCCTGCAACGTCAGAGCGTTCAAAGCGTCCAAAGCGTCAACGAGCTTCTCTGTACTATTTGACAAGCGTCCTTGACAGAGCGGCCAGAGCTTCATTGACGCTCAAGTCGGCGGCGGTGTGAACGTACAGTTAAGGTTCCATTCCTGACAGCTTATTGGTCAGTACAGTAAATTGGCCAAAAGTAAAAAATAAAATGTATGTATTAAATAAAAACGTTGGAATAATTAACATTTAATGTTTGCTAGCTGGTTCCTTATTCCTGGTTCATGAGTCACAGTTTTGGAGCACAACTGTAAATGTGTAACTTCAGCTAGGCCTACGTTTGTGATACGAACAGCCAGTCAGTAAAAATACAGATTTAATTATCATTATTATCATTATTTCTCTTTAGAAGGTTAAGTTATATTTTTTTTCTGAGAACATTTTTAGTTTGTTTCTAGTCAGATATAAATGAAAGTAGAGACACAGCGATTGACCGGCCAAGGCCCATTGTCCACATGATTTGCTCGGACTGATGGATAAATACCAATATACAGAGCTAATGCAACAAAGAACAAACGGAAGTTTAAAGACAATATTGTAAAGATGGCTTCGTGCTTGTTTCTCTGGCGCATAAGGTCTATAGCAACAAAAAGGAGCTCGGAGTTGTGCTGTATGGTAAATATGGGTTTAACTTTGCCCTTTAGTCATGACTGTATTCACAATATAGCACAGCTTCTTGATTCATCGCTAAATAGATGTCAGATCCTGCCTCACTGGTTTTTGTACTCAGTGGATCACGCAAACATTTTTCACCTTCCCTTGTTTTCTCAGTTTCTCTTCAGTCCGCCATGTACTTGTAAAATCTCAGATCAGTATCCACAGTTTCATCCAAGTCTGAGTGGTTTTTGTTTTTGTTGCTGGACATTGGTAGAGGAATGTGAACACATGAGCCCTGTAGCCTAAAGTAAGGTTGACTTACTGTTACTGTGTGTTGATCAAACAGTCATGTGAGAAGTATCTTGAACAGGACAAATATTGACACAGTAAGATCCACACACACACACACACACACTGCTCCCATTGTCAATTGAAGATTCACATGTGTCAAGACAGGATGAGAGGATGAACAGACTGACAGGAATTTGCGTGCCTGTGTTTGACTCAAAGAAACACCTGACAAACAGGAAGTCAAACTTGTTGAGGGCAGATTTGAGGGCTCTTGAATCCCATCTATTGACATGAAGAAACCAGTTCCACTTTTGTCTCGGTCACTCTTTTGTGTCTCTGTCTCTCCAACATAGGGGCCAGGATCATCTCAGAGTATGAAGAAGACCATTGGTCACCGAGGAGTTGACCCCACTGGAGAAACGACTTACAAAAAGGTCAGCTGGCTGCCAAATGTGTCACCTGATAACAGAAGAAGTGCAAGAGAGAGAAACTGGGCTAGAAAAGAGGAACAGCCCAAAGGGAGGAGTTGGAAATGAAAGAGAGGTTATCATGAGAAACATGCTGAAATTATGATGATGTAAAATGAAGCAGAATTGTGAATGTCACAGTGAATTTAATATGATTTTATTTGTCTAGTAAGACTCTAGTTTCAAGATCCTTTCATATACTGGTCAAAATTGTCTACACTAAAAAAGTCTCATCATTCTATGTTTTTTCCCCCTTTCTTTTATTTTAAATATGTATTTTATTTGATCTTATTAGGAATGAATAGTAAAATCAGTGTTCCCCCCAAAGATGATATAGATGAAGGGAACAAGGTTTATTAGAAACCTGCTTTGTAAAATTACAGATTTCAACAGGGTTGAATTTTGTTTTGTTGAAATTATAATTTCAAGTCATAATTGTACATAAGCAAATATATCAAATGCATATTATGAGTTGTCAAGAGTGGAAAAATATCAACAAACTTCTTCTTCATTTTTTTTTTTTTTTTTTACTGTATCTCCCACTCCTAATGACACATTCCAGTATTTGTTTTACTGGAAATTGCGTTTTTAATTATTTTTTTTTTAAATGCATTATGTTCCCACGCCACCTACGTAACAGCTCATTTATAGGTTATTTAAAATAACCATTGTGATATTTATCTAGTGTTTCCTTTCTGTTTGCACTTCTTTCTCACGCATTCTTCTCACACACGCTCTCATTTTCTGTCTGTAGACGACCTCCTCCGCCCTCAAAGGTGCCATCCAGCTGGGTATCACACACACGGTGGGCAGCCTCAGTCAGAAAGCTGAGAGAGATGTTCTCATGCAGGACTTTTATGTAGTAGAGAGCATCTTCTTCCCCAGGTGTGTGTACAAAAAGACCACCACTTGTATGTTAACCTAAACCACTAAATGCACTTTAGGCTTTTAAATATCTATGGCTATTTAAATAGATTTGAATGGGTGTTGTTGTGGGCGCTTTAAGTTTAAGAAAACAAAGTGAAATGCCATTATAGGGTCTTTGGGCATCATATGCTTGTTCAAACCTCTGAATTGAACAGTGGGCAGCTGGCCAGGTTATATGTGTAATAAAACTCCATAACCCTGTGTCTGCTTTGCTCTCCATGTCTGTTCTCCTACAGTGAAGGAAGTAATTTGACTCCAGCACATCACCACGGTGACTTCAGGTTTAAGACTTACGCCCCAATCGCCTTCCGTTATTTCAGAGAACTCTTCGGCATTCGACCTGATGACTATCTGGTAAGCTGAACCTATATGTATATTTAAAATAAATTATAAATCATATTTATTTTATTATTTATTGTTTACATTAATATAAAAGGTTCAGTAAGAGGTTCTTGAGAAACGCTGTTGATATTTGAAATCACCAAAAAAATAAGCACCTTTCCAAAAGGTTCACACCCCTATCTTGGTAGCTCCGCCCCCAAATTCATGAACACGCTGTGCAACAGACACCTCCCCCCTCATGAGCTGATTGGCTACAAGTGTGTTGTGGTGTTAAGTTGGACTGTCAATCTTCCTTTATAATACTATTTGAATTCCATTCCTTATTTTATTTAATATTCAAATATTAAATGCTAAAATTTATTCTATTATTAATATTTACGACATTACACATGACAGTCATTAAACATAGCATGAAACTATATAAACTATAGCATGTAGTTGTTACATGTTCGGTCCACTAGAGGGACATTTAACACACATTTTATTCGTGCTGAATATGGTTGAAGCGCTTCCAATGGTTTTCGGCTGATATATCCGCGAAAACACCACCAAAAATTCTGAAACTTATATCGTTCTTTTCAGTTCAACTAGACGCTTCCAACAAGCTCAATGCGCTCCGAATCCGTTGAGATATTTGTGTTTTTCGCTTCACAGGCGCTTTTGGGGGCGCTATTTACGTCGCTAAACATTTAGGCTAGCGTTACCATTTTTGATAGTTGTTATGATGATACACCGTGGATAACGTGCACACTTATGATTCAAAAACTTTATTGATCATCAGACGAAACAAAGGCATTTCATTTTCACATGCCATGGCGGCGAAAAGGCAAGATTGCATATAAAAGAAAATAAAAAAATTATATATATATATATATATATATATATATATATAAAAAGCAATATTCGAACAGTAACTTCAGCATTCGAATAGTATTGATTTTTTTAATATTCGAATTTCGGAATTTGTTCCAACAGGCCTAGTGTTCGGTCTGATCCACTTTCAACATTGTTTATCAGAAATCTCTTACTGCACCTTTAATTATTGAGGATGAGCTCTTGACCCACACACACACACACACACTACCGTTCAGAAGTTTAGACTCAATATGATTTTTTTTTTTAAAGGAATTTAAAAGGTTAGTACACCCAAAAATGAAATTTCTGTCATTAATTACTCATGATGTTCCAAACCTGTTCCAGACCTTTCATCAAAAATATGTAAGCTCTCGGATTTCATAAAAAAAATATCTTAATTTGTGTTCCAAAGATGAACAAAAGTCTTATGGGTAATTAATGACAGAATTTTCATTTTTGGGTGAACTAACCCTTTAATACTTAAGGTTTATACTAATTCAGCAAGGAAACAATGAATAGATCACTAAAGACATTTATAATGGCACATAATATTTATCTAGGCTATTTCAAAGAAATGCTGTTCTACAAGGAATTAAGCAGCAAAATTGTATTGAACATTGATAATAATAATAAATGTTTCTTGAGCACCAAATCGGCATATTAGACTGATCATGTGGAAGGATCATGTGACTCTAAACACTGCAGCAATGATGCTGAAAATTCAGCTTTGCCATCACAGAATAAACTACTACATTTTAAATTGTATTAAATAGAAAACCATTATTAATATAGAAAACAGTTATACTATTTTAATTATTGTTTAAACTGTTTTACTTATTTACTTTTATTTTTAGTATTTTAATTATTTATTTTTTTATTCTGAACGGTTTTAATTATTCTGATTTCTTTTGATTATTTTAATTTCTTTTATGTAAAGCACTTTGAATTACCATTGTGTATGAAATGTGCTATATAAATAAACTTGCCTTGCCTATTTAAAGCTACAATACCTAAGATTTTATGCCGCTAGAGGGCGCTACGTTCAAAACAACAACAGCGGCTTTGCTTGATGACACCGTGGAGGAACACGGAATGATGGGAACCGTTGTTTTCAACTCCACCGTGGATAAATCATAGACAGTATAAATCAGTCAGATGGGAATTGAAAATTAGTTGTCATGGATGAGGTAAAGTTCGATTTCTGTAACTGTTGCGTTTAATGACATGCTTGTTTTTCATTAAACTGAAATAACCGCAAGAAAAGTAAGGTTTAAAAGTAAATTAGTTATCACAGATGTAAGGGGAGAGCCGGGACGGTTGAAACACTTTTCAGATAAACGTAGTTTTCTAAGATACAGCCAACAGTTCACATTCCGAGAAGTATTCGCGATGAATATGACCTTACGATTTTTCACATCATATGCATAGACAACAAGACATTCTAACAATAATACTAATTGTTTTACATGGTTTACTGACATTAAATTTGAATACAGAACATGGTGTTACTCACCTGTCCAGTAAAACACATGCTAGATCGGCGTCTCTTTCTAGTTAGTTTTTCACGAAGTTCTCTCCATTTAGGAAATGCCACACCAATGTTGAGCTTGTTTTATTTCTCTTGTCCCAAATTCTTCTTGGGTCGTTTGGTTGACCCGTTCGTTGACGTTTGCGTTTATGAGACTTGTCTTTGTAGACAGAACCAGGTGCAATCGCTAAAGAATAATTGTGCTCCATTCCATAACAAATACGCGAAACAAGCTGACGTTTGTTGCTTGATAGACGCTAACGCACAACTACAACTTCCGCATTTGTCCAGGACTACACGCAGTACGAGCGGAAACCGAGGTAACGCGGATATGACGCGATTTACTGGCGACTCCCAGCTCACCCCTGCTCACACGCCCCCTTTCCTTGGTTGAAATTTTCTCGCGATTTAAACAATGTTTGAAACATTTGGAATATTGTAAGTTATCATCTTAACTAGAGCCCGACCGATAAAGGATTTTGAAGGCCAATACCGATACAAATATTTTTGGGTTTTAAAATCCGATATTCCGATATATAGGCCGATATTTTATTTATTTTTTTATTTAAATTTGAGATGATTAGTCACAAATTTTGTCATGCTTATTTGAGTTAAGAGAACTGATGGGGATGTTCTTTTATTTGTTATTCAAGCAATGTATGTCTCGTGACCAACTCAACTAGAGTTGCCAACAGGGACGGTGTAGAGTGCCCTCTGGTGGACAAACTATACAACTCCAACACTCATGACATGGTTCAAGCGTGTTATTTTTGAAATATTAATTTATCGGCCATTATAACTGCCGATACCGATAGTTTGGAAAATGCCTAATATTGGCCGATAATATCGGTCTGCCGATATATCGGTCTGGCTCTAATCTTAACTAAATATATAACACTGGCCTTGTGATTTTGGGATATTTTAATGCAAAAATCTTAGGTATTCCACCTTTAACAATATTACTGTTTTACTTTATTTTGATCAAATAAATGCAGCCTCCATGAGCTTAAGTGACTTCTTTCAAAATGATTTTTTTTTTAAATCTTACCCTCCTCAAACTTGAACAGTATATGTATATTTACACTTTTATATAACAATCATCATCAGAGTTCAATGTCCTTAGGAACATCCCTGATGTGTTTTTGTGATTTCTTTCTGTCTGCAGTATTCTCTATGTAATGATCCTTTGATCGAACTGTCCAACCCTGGAGCGAGTGGATCCATATTTTATGTGACAAGCGATGATGAGTTCATTATTAAAACAGTGCAGCACAAGGAAGCAGAGTTTCTGCAGAAACTACTGCCCGGCTACTTCATGGTGAGCATTACACACATGTGTTCCTGTACTTTAGATACATAGTACATGGTATAAGTCAAATTATAGCATTCAACTATGTCCAAATTGTGATATTACAGAATTTTTCACAACTTTCTATAATCCGCTCCTCCTCCTCCAGAATCTGAATCAGAACAAGAGAACGCTTCTCCCGAAGTTTTACGGCTTGTATTGCGTGCAGTCAGGTGGAAAGAACATCCGTATCGTCGTAATGAATAACCTGTTGCCCCGCAGTGTGCCTATGCACCAAAAATATGACCTGAAGGGCTCCACGTACAAGCGCCGTGCCTCCCCTAAAGAGAGAGAGAAAAGAGTCCCTACTTACAAAGACCTGGATTTCATCCAGGAGATGCCTGAGGGCATCCAACTAGAACCGGACAACTACAGCGCCCTCTGCAAAACCATCCAGCGGGACTGCCTGGTGAGCATAGTTGAAACATTGAATCCAGGGTTATGAAGATTTTGATAATGAGTATTTATTATAATGAATAAGGTGCCAAATCATGTGTGGAAATGACTCTTCATGCTTCCTCCCAACCTGTCATCCTGGAATATGGCCACGATTTGTATTCCTACATGCTTAATCCTCAGGTGCTCTTCGGTCATTTCTGACCGGAAAATTTTCTGTTTTGAATTTCTAAAAATCACAGCTTCATCGGAATGTTATGAAACTTGGCGACTTTTATGGCATTATGTATGTGAATACAAAAAAAATTGAGGTCATGATCCGAGCAGGCTAAGTGGTCGTAAAAAAATAGTCACACTTGTTGTCTTCGGTCAAAAATGACCGACCCATAGGAAATGAATTCTCTGAATTTTTGTACGTGCAATCTACAAATCGGCCACAATTCAAAAAAAAAAGTACACCACAGGAAAGGGATGACACTCTACAACATCTAGAGTGCAAAACAGACACACCCACCCACACACACACACACATACAAACACGTTTATACACATACACACCAATAAATTTTGATTACAAAAAGTATGTTTTGAATTTTTAAAAATCACAGCTTCATTGCAATGTTATGAAACTTGGTGACTTTTATGGCATTATGTATGTGAACACACAAAAAATTGAGGTCATGATCTGAGCATGCTAAGTGGTCTTAAAAAAATAGTCACACTTGTTGTCTTTGGTCAAAAATGACCCCCATAGGAAATGAATGGGAAATTGACAAAAACACAAAAATTTACAAATTTTTATTTATTTATTTTTTATTTTTTTTAATAAAAAATCGTTTTTGAGATTGTTTCAAATATATATTCAAATCCACCAAAAAATTCAAACATCTGGGGAATTCACATGCCTCTCCATAGAGAGCTGTAGATGCCATCTAGTGGTTACACCATGATTCTACGCTTTTTCTCTATACTGTAACCAGATGGTGCTAATTTTCTTCAAAAATATTTTTTTTTCTGAAGGCCTAGCCCTAGACTAATTAGTTATAGTTATTAGTTTAGTTATATTAAACTAAAATACTGCATTAATAATTTTTTGAAAAAAGTAATATATACATAGAAATATATATATATTTTTCCATGGCAAAAATAGACCATAAATATTAATAAATTCAATCAAATTGTCTCAAAATTCTAAATTACAAAGAATAAATATTATAGAACAAAAATAAATTGCATTGGTTTTACTGGGATGGAGGAAATTTAATGTTTAGGTGTCCGGTCACTTTTGACCGGGAGGATAACAAGTGTGACTCCGAAACGAAGAGCACCTGAGGGTTAAGAAATGAAAAGCTACCCACTCCATCAATTAGGGTTAGAAGAACTGTTGCCAAACATATTACATGCTATAAACAAAACAATCACTGCAATATTGATCCAATCATGGACTCTTAAGCCTATTTAAATCCAAACAGTGCATTTTTTTTTGGCTGGGCTGTGTATATATTTTTTGCATTTATGTGAAAATTATTTTGCATTGTATTTTATTTCATGCATTAAACATATTGAGTCTCTTTGACTACAATAGTTTGGTTTAAAAGATGCTTTCTGTGTCACAAAAATCATAATGAATCACCATTTTGGTGCAAATAAGTAAATATCTATATATATATTGAATATTGTCAAAGATTTGTTTAGTTAATCTATCTCTGTATTTGACAGCTGCTACAGAGCTTTAAGATCATGGATTACAGTCTGTTGGTGGGGATCCACAACACGGATCAGGCATGTCGTGAGCGAGCGGCAGTAGAGGGCGGGGGGTCCGAGGGGGCCGTGACACCAGACCACAGGAGGCCGCAGACTCAGAAAGCTCTGTACAGCACCGCCATGGAGTCCATACAGGGAGAGGCCAAAGGCAAAGGAACCCTGGAAACAGAGGACCAGTTAGTCACCATCTTATAACTCTACTCGCTTATGTTCTCCGTTTGATTTTCTTCCCATCTATGCAGTTAATTCACCCATCCACCCATTTTATGTGCTTTTCTCAGTCTTCTGTCCTCTTCAACTGTCTAATTGTTCCGTCTTTCTCCCACACTATAATCCCTTTCTTCATTTGACTTAAAGGGGTAGTTCACTTTAAAATGAAAATTTGCCCATGATTTACTCACCATCGAGCCATCCTAGGTGTATATGACTTTCTTCTTTCAGACGAATACAATCAGAGTTATATTAATAAACATCCTTGAGCTTTATACAGCTCCAAACACCTTCTTTACATTTTCTCCCATTTCTGATTAAAGCCCCGTTTACACGAAGGGAAAACGCAGATATTTCCCTGCGGATTGGCCTCTTGTTTACACGAAAACCCCGTTTTTATCACAGAAAACGATTATTTCTAAAAACTCTGGCCAAAGTGGAGATTTCTGAAAACGCTGGTTATGTGTTGTCGTGTGAACTGGGAGAAACGGCGTTTTAGGTTCTCTCTTGTCGATTCTGAGGATTCTGATTGGCTTTCATGGCTTTATCCTTAACCCCTACACTGCCGCCAATAGGTTTGGCATAGTTATGATGGCACTCGCCGGTGTATATTTATGCGGGTGTGTGTGAACGATGTTTAAAATTAACGCTAGACTAGGGATTGTTTTTGTTTTCTAGCCCTCATTTCTATCCCGCATGTAAATGCCTCTCAGAGTCTCCGAACGTGTCACGAATTGATATAAAACTCCAGACGACTCTTCTTGAATGCGTCCGCTGTTAACGTGTCTTGACTGCTATACAATGACAGTCTGACATTAATGACAGCTCAGATCCTAGAGTGTGACATGGCTAACAGCGGGGATCATGTTCTTTCAGTCTGACAAGCAACATTTGTAAAGGACTACTATAAAAAAAATGAAATTATGAATGTCTTTTAATGCATGCGATTTCCTGTTTTGTCCGTAGATGGGGAGGAATCCCAGCACGCAGCAGTAAAGGAGACAGAATACTGGTTTATATTGGGATCATCGACATATTACAGTCATACAGGTGACTGGTCACAGACAAAGAGTTGTGTGTGCATGTTTACATGTTTGTGACCATCATTAATATCTCTCCTTTGTTTCTTCCATCAGATTTATTAAAAAAATAGAGCATTCCTGGAAGGCCTTGGTTCACGATGGGGTAAGTCAGCTGGTCCTTTTGGTGATTTTGCACTTAGTCGCTTGCAGCCATTGTGAGATAAATAGTACTCTAAACATTATGTTGTAGGACACTGTCTCTGTACATCGGCCCGGATTCTACGCTGAGCGATTCCAGCGTTTCATGTGCAGCACAGTTTTTAAGAAAACGCGTAAGTAAAAAAATCTACTTGTCCGGTTAGTTCACCCAAAAACTAAAATTCATTTCTCATTCATTCACCCTCATGTTGTTCCAATCCATAAGAGATTCATTCATTTTTTTATGAAACCTGAAAGACTTCTGTCCCTCCATTGGAAGTCCATAAATGCATTGTAAAAGTAATCCATAAAAGTAATCCGAGCAGTTTAGTCTTAAGTTAAGAAGTTTAGTTAAGTTCAGTTTAGTTAAGAAACACAGTAGAACTATATACATGAAAAATGTATCAAACCACATTCAAACAGTAAATCAAATTTAAATATTCATCAAATAAAGTGTCAGCAGACTTGGATTAAAACTCTTTAAAAATCCAAATGGATTACGTTTACAATATCTTTACAACTTTTTGAAGGTTTTGGCGTAATAGACTATTTCAATGGAGGGACAGAAATCTATCAGGTTTGTGTTTCAAAGATGAATAAAAGTCTTATGTTTTGGGGATGACGTGAGGGTGAGTAAATGATGATAATTAACTTGATAATTAAGGTGAAGTGTATGATTTTTTTTTTAAGTAAAAAATTCATTCTCTTGACCAAGTTTATTGTTCATTTACTTCTATAAGTATGTTATTCATGGGTTTTTTCATTGATTCATGACACATAGTAACACAGCTAAAACTATTCCTAAAATGGAGCTTTCATTGAAAGTAGACTACTTTTACCTGTAGAGCAGGGCTATTCAATTAGCTTCATTCGAGGGCCGCATTATTAAATCAAAAAGTTGAGCTGGGCCGGTGGGTTTAGCTTATTTATTGACACATAACAGTATCAATATAAGCTAAAGTAAACAAAAAAACAAAAAACAAAAAAAAAACGGCTTTGCATTTACTAGGAAATGTGGTACCCAACAGTATGCAGACCATAATAAATAACTTTTTTTTACAGCTATATACAAATATATTGAATTATACAATATCATAGCTATTGGTAAGAATTATTTTATTAATAATTATTATAGGCTTAAATTAAAATATCCTGACAGTGAGACTTGTGGCTCACTACCACTGTATAAAAAATGCCTAAACAGGTAAACAATTATGCACACAATGAATTATATATTCCTCTACCCCGCCCTAATAAATCTAATGCAAAATAAATGACTATAACATAGTATTCAATATAAATAGTCCACATTTCTGCCCAAACCATATGGTAAATTATTACATTCATGGTAAATGTATTCTGTAAATATATGGTAAATGGTAAAATTATTATGGTAAAATTATTACATTCATGGTAAATGTATTCTTGTATTCGGTCATGTAAAATTGTCTTTGTATATATGTATCAGGCGTACTGTATGTGCAGAACAATTTTCCGCGAGGATAAATAAACTTAATCTAATGTTTGTAAGGGTGGTGATTATGGCATTTATACTATTCTAACTTTGTTCATGTTTCTTCTATTTACCTCATCAGTAGTGTTGGGAATGTTAAGGCTGTTTCATCCGATTTAAAACTAGTTAAAATCCTTGAGTGGTTTGTAACTGAGAGGAGTGTCCGATTGAAACGCTTCTCACTGGATGTCGCAACGCTGTTTAATAGTAGTGTCCGGGACCGGAGTAAACGCGACTCCTTTAAGCTTTGCGTTCCGTTATCCACTGGCCCGCGCTGCCTAGTTCAAAGTAAACTAGTGAAACAACTGAAACCAGCGCTATTTTGTTCACTATTTGTTCTCACTGACCGAGAAACCGCTTCAGACGATTCAGTGACAGAACGGTCCGAACAAATCCGAATCGTTTCCGACTGTTATGCACGCGCGTTTGGCCAATTCATGAAAAGGAAATAGGAATCGAACCAACGAATGATTAATATCGCTGGTTCAGTCGACAGAAATACGGGACACATATTAACTGCTGAAATAATTCGGACTGAAAACGTTTTTCTAAGGTCAGTTGGAGCGCTCATACACAGTGCGTATACAGCTGCACGCGCCACTGTGGCCACGCGCATATCAAACCAAATTTAGCCGCAGCACCAGAAAATAGGAGGGGGATGTTGGAGTGCTCTCGGGCCGCATGGAGATAATTGGCGGGTCGCCAATTGAATAGCCCTGCTGTAGAGATTTGGCTTCACAAGCACATGTAAAGCTGTATTTGTGATGTTTGAGTTGGGGGAGGCTCGACATGCGATGGGGCGTTTACAAGGTTGTTTGAAAATATGTATTATTTTTGAAGTTCCGCTAGGTGCCACTAGTGGTGCAAAAACTATATGCTTCACCTTTAAGTTATGTCTTTAGTTTGGTCGTTGACCTTTTTTAGTGTTTTTGTGATGTCATCATCCTGTGCCTCTCTCTCGGTTCCCAGTAAAATCTTCCCCCTCAAAGAAGAGTCGAAGTGGCTGTTCGAGTGTTGTGAGACGGCTTCCTATGGGAAGCTCTGCTCCGGCCCCTGGCGGACAGACCGTTGCTGACGCCAGACTCGTGTACCGTTCTCACCTTAACCAGTCCGATACAGAAGGAGAGAGCGGTGAGTCCCATGTCTGTTACAGAACTGACTACTTTCTTTAAACAAAAGTTGGGATACGACAGTGAATCATCATGGCCATTGAATGCAAAGCAGTAGGTGTGTCACTGTGCATTGTTTTGAGATATTTTTGTGCATGCTTTTCAGCTGAGTCAAATTTAGTGACAAAAGGCCTTCGATAGTCTTTGGAGCATAAATCAAATCATAACTCCCTGTGATTGTCATTCTCAGGCATGCAGTCGGGCAGACCGGACCTGCTCCAACAAACCGATCCCATGGCAGGAAGCTCTAGTGAGTTTGCAGCATCAAATATGTCCAACTCCTCACAAGGCAGCACAGGAATGGCATCATCATCTCCTCCTCAAAGGTACCTCCACACTATCTCTCTTTAACTTTTTTCAGTTCTAATCTGTCTCTCTTTTTTGATTTTTGTGTAGTTTCTCTTGCAGTCTTTTTTTGTCTGTTATATTTCTTCTTCATCATCACCATCACCATTTCTCTCTCGCTTAAATCTCTCATAGTATAACTATGGCTGCTCACTTTCAGGTCAGTAGGGGTGGAGGTGCACAAATCTGCAGTCACTGAGCCTGACAACAGCGCCCCCCACAGGTAAAACCAAACACACACACACACACACACATTTCTCATCTCATCACCTCTTACGCTTGAACATTGGGGAGGACCAACTTTTTAGAGAGGTTTTATTTATAGGAACTAAATAATTAAAAGGAATTTAAGTGATTAAAAGAAAATAAGTTCTGCGTCTAACTGTAGTTTTAAAGGAAAACATTTAAACTATTTACAAATAAATTTTTTTTTTTTTAATTAACATTCAGTCTTAAAGGGATAGTTCACTTTGAAATTAATTTTTGATGTTTTAGCTTACCTCAAGGGCATCCAAGATGTAGGTGTCTTTGTTTCCGCAGTATTTTCAATTTTGATATTTTTAGGTCAAACCGTTCTTGTCTGTCAGTCATTTAATGGAGGTCAATGGTCACCACCTCAAAGAGCATGCACAGAGAAGTCCAAATTAAACATGATTTAATGACTCGTAAATGTAAGTACACATTGATGGCCTAAGACACAAAATGAGCGGTTTGTGTGAGAAAACAAACAGTATTTATGTCATTTTTACCTCTCATAACCACAACAATAAAAAATCCAAGCCCTGGAAAGCCCCGGAAGTGCTCTCTCGCGCGTGTACATAACTCATTGTTTACACAGAGATTTCGGAAGTTTTACCTTTCACTGTGAAGATCTAAACATATTTAGATATACAGGAAATCGCAATGGAAGACGATTTCGAAATATCAACAGACCGAAGCGCCCGCGCCCTCAGATCACTTGGACGTGGCTGTGGTTACAAGAGGTAAAAACTATACAAATACTGTTCGTTTTCTCACACAAACCGCTCGTTTCGTGTCTTAGGCAATCAGTGTGTACTTACATTTACAAAACATTAAATCATGTTTAATTTGGACTTCTCTGTGCATGCTTTTTGAGGTGGTGACCATAGACCTCCATTATATGACTGACAGACAAGAACGGTTTGACCTAAAAATATCAAAATTGAAAATACTGTGGAAACAAAGACACCTACATCTTGGATGCCCTCGAGGTAGCCTAAAACATATCAAAAATTAATTTCAATGTGAACTATCCCTTTAATTGTTAATTTGATTTGTTGAAATCTGAGTAAAAATTCAGCCTTACCATTACAGGGATAAATGACATTTTTAAAATATTTTCAAATAGAAAACAGTTATTTTAAATTGTAATAATATTTCACATGGTTTCTACTGCATTTTTCATCAAATAAAAGCAGCCTTTGTGAGCTTGAGAGACTTCTTTCAAAAAACATTCAAAAATCTGTGTTTCGAAAAAATGTGTTTCGAACAATAGGGTGGTGTATAATGACAAAATTCTAATATTTGGGTGAAGTAAATATGTAAAGAGAGACCAATCCTTCATCTTTCGCTCTCTTCTTCAGCTCTGGAGCCGAATGCTTAGATGAGCAGTTAAGCAACGAAGATGCCATTTCTCTCCAAGACATCATCCCAGAGACTGACATTTGTTTTGTAAGTTGTATATAAACTCCAAATAATTTCACTGAGGCAGAAATGTGATTTTATTAAAGACCATATTGCTTGTTTCCAGTAAGAGCAGAGCGATGACTGAAGACGCAGCATTTAAGCGAGAGATGGACACACAGAAACTCAAGAGAGACGAAGGGCTATGCTATGAGCACTGCTATGATGGCGGTTTTCTCTCAATGGGAGCTTGGGAAAGAACTCAACGTCCTCAGCACAATGAAGTGTGTTTTAAAAGTGAGTGAGAAACAGGGAATGAAGAAAAGCCATTGAGCAAGGAGCTTTGATGGCTTTTTCTCTTTCTCTTGCACAGGGAAATGCTGCTAAAACCAGTTTCAACCACAAAGTTATTGGAAAATGGATGTTACGATCTCAGTCACATTCTTTACTGCCTTTCTCTCTTAAACTTTTAAAACAGGGCAAGCAGGATGCACAAACCAATTTTAGTTTTCTCTGCCTAGCTAGTGCTGGGAGAAAAAACGTGTTACACAGTTGGCACCACTTTATATTATCCTACGTTGCATAAATCTTTATTTATATAGGTCTGTAAACCTTTTGATTCTCTCTTAAAGTAACGGCTGCTAGCGCTCCAGTGTGTTTATCTCCGAAGGTGTTCTGTTGGAGATGAGCAGGCAACTTCTCTCTCTCAGTGGCGTTCTGTGAATACATATGAAGGTTCATTTTTATGACTATTCTTTTTGGGTAAACCTGACGAGAGCATCGTTTTTCTAGCTCTTTCTGTGTCGAGACAGCATGTGCCCTTAGAAAAAAAAAGAAAATAGGGGAAAAACGACCAAAAATGATTCCCACTTTTAAAAAAATAAATGCGTTTGAGTGTCACATACGCCGCATTCAGGCTTAGTATTTCATGCTTTACAATTGCCTTCTTTGAGGTGCCACTAAGTAGATTTAGATAATTGTCTCTATGCGTCTCTTTTGCATTGGCCCATTGCAAGTTGCCCCTCCACATTGGACCAATCAACTGTCAAGGTTGAGAAATGGACAGATCCGCATGCATGTCTTATTCTAGTTTAAATGCACATATTGCTGCCTTGCCAAGGACCCCGTAATATTAGTGTACTGTATTTATGTAAATAATTATTCATCCTGTGTTCCTGTACGTGTATGTGCTCTTCCAGCACAGCAGCTCTTGTCTTTTAACAAACATGTTAATGAATAGACTGACTGATCGATTGATTGTGCCATGACGTCTTCCAATCATCCGCCTTAATGCAGCTTTTGTTGGTATGAAAACACTAATTTCTGCTGGTTACAGAAATCACTCGGACCAACATGGATCTGCTTAAGTCATTTCAGATCTCCCTGTTACACAGTGCATGCTTTCTGGCCTTTTCATACAAACCTATTTGTTTTCTAGCATTATACACAGTCCTATAATGTGTAGACGGGACTGAAAAGCCTTTCAGCTATTTGAATATCAGGAATGTAGACTTAATTTACATTCTAACGTCATATTGTCGGTATATAAGAAGTCTTGAGAATATTCACAGCTGATTTCTAGTTGACGGGATGTTAAAAAGGAGAACTCCGGCGAACAATGAACCTTTGGTCTAATAAAACATCGGTACTTAGTCGACCGTTATCTGAGATTTGTTTTCATGATAATCGAATGTAAAGAGTTTTATCTCTAAAAACTGTTTAGCGTATAATGCTACTATATGGGGGCATTTACTAAGTAAAAAGAAATCGCTAGTTTATACCACTAACAAGGCTCAAAATAGACCCACACTTACACAGTAACATAATGAGGCTCCATACATGCAAAACGAAGCATTGAGAACTTTGTAAGTGTACAGACCATTAAATAAGAAGATGCGTTATAAAAACAGTCCATTTCGTGTATACAGACAGGAGCCATCTTGGAAAATAGTCCCCGAACGACGTTCAGAAGTTCACTGAACTTCATACAGTTGAGCTCACTCAGCATAACGTTCGTGGTTTGACTAGTCGTGACTGTTTTCTAAGATGGCTCCCATCTGTATACACAAAGTGAACTGTCTTTATAAAGTATCTTCTTATTAAACGGTCTGTACACTTACAAAGTTCTTAATGCTTCGTTTTGCATGTAGGGACCCTCATTATGTTACTGTGGGTCTATTTTGAGCCTTGTTAGTGGTATAAACTAGCGACTTCTTTTTACTTATTATATGCCCCCATTACTAGCATTATACGCTAAACAGTTTTTAGAGATAAAACTCTTTACATTCGATTATCATGAAAACAAATCTCAGAGAACGGTTGACTAGGTAACGATGTTTTATTAGACCAAAGGTTCATTTTGCGCCAGAGTTCTCCTTTAAATCTGTTCAACTATTGTAGTTAGACTCACCCTGAGAAGAAGGAGAAAAAATGGACTCTAATGGACTTTACCAGGGTACATGTGAACACTTTAGAGGAGCTGGAAAGGAAATGACTCTCTGATGAATCTGCCTTTCTGTTATCACACCCATTTGGATCGATTTAACAGAGGGAGTGGTCAGACAGGCGTTACTTGCAGTTTGTCTTTGACTGATTCCAGGCCCTGATACCTCTACCACACACAGATCTGAGACTGACAATGCAGTCTTGAAGTACTTAGAAGAAGGGCTGACTGTAGGCTTGAACAGTGTTGTGTAGTCCCAAATAAAACAGTCGGTGAAGTGTTGGAGGGAAGGGATCGTTTGCCAAGGATTTGTCTTTGCAGACCTGAAGAAAATGCAGATAGAAAGTACATTGACAGTCTGTATTGAAAAAACCTATAGAGTTTCACAGTGGATGCAGTATTTATGCATATTCTATGTTTAATGTATTTTATATTATGAGAATGTATAATTGTGCACAGGAGTTTGGTTTGGGTCTTTTTCTGTCTTTTGGTTGGAATCATTTCAATGTCTATTGAACATTTGATAATGCACCTTAATGCTTCACAATACCGTTTTATCTAGGAAAACAATCAACCCCACGACAAGCTAATATCACTAGAAAGCTTGAGCTAAACTCACAGTTGTCCTCTCAAAGTCCACATTTCAGGATTTGCTTTGGCACTGATATGACAAATATTTTACTGGTTTTGGTCACACAAGGTTTTTACAGTGTTTCTAAACTTAATGGATTATTTGTGAGTGTCAGAAGTTACCTAGATTCACATTTAATTCGAGTCCTACAGTAAATAGAATAAGATTAACAATGCCCTGATTAACATTTTTACATTTTATAATACATTTTTATCGCCTCTCTTGAAGGATGTCGGGTCTATATAATGAAGTTACTTTTCTAAAAACTAATATTGCACACAATGTTTGTATTCATTTCATCTGCTCTGTATGATGCATCTTCTTTTATAGTTTTGAGGTTCTGAATTTCATAAACCATAAACTGGTCTTGGATCAGTTCTCAGTGGCTTAATCTCACAGTTGGCTTGTGTAGTTTTCTGGGATCTTCACAATTCAGGCCTCTCTCAATTATGTTTCTGTTATTTATTCATTTGTGTTTATGGTCTCAAGATGGAAAAATAACTGCCTTTCTCTGACCAACACTTAATACTAATCTATTCTTACAGGCTAGAAACCACAGTAAAACATCATGACTTAAATGAATTAACTTTTGACCTGACGATGCGTAATGCGAATGAAAGAAAGACCGTAAACGCATGTGTGCGGGCAAACAGAGACCGATATACTTTACGCTTTGGTTTATGTAGGGCTTTGTCCAGTCTTTGTATTGATACAGTGAAACAGATATTTGCACAAGAGACACATCAAATTACATGCTGGCAACTCTGACACTAAATAGACCGACCAACCTACTGCAATATGAACGTTTCCGCCAATGTATTTCAGTGATTGTATTTATTAAGAAATGTCTTGTTTTTCTTTTGACCTTGTATGTAATTTGAATTCTCTTATGTACCGTAGATGATTGTATGTATTACATAATCTTTAGTATGTATTTTATTTTGGGTCTGCGGGAAGTTATTGACAATATAAACCATTTTTGTATTTTATGTGTTTGTGTCCAAGGTAAATATTCCTATTCATTCTAAATCTGTGAAAGCTCTTCCTCGGCTTTCCTACTTGTGAATGTCTGGCGGTGTCAGGAACAACACTGGCAACCGTAAGTGCTTTGAGGACTATATTTTTACCTGGCCTTTATAAAACGTGTATATAATATGTATATAAGCAAGTCACGGAAATGCCTTTTTCTTGTGTGGTGTTTGCAGCCTGTTTCTCCTACCATCTTTCAGTGATGTGGTGATTCGTTTTTTTCACATTGTATTTCTGATTTAAAAAGAATAAAATATTTTCCAACCCATTGCTGTGGTTTTTTAAAATATATATTTTTTTTCATCCCAAACCAATGCATTAACTAACATTAACAATGAGGAATATATTTGTTACAGTATTTATCTTTAACGTTAGTTAACTAACAATAAAGTTGTATAAAACTCCACTGATGACTGGAGTTGTGGTGCTGAAAATTTAGCTTTACCATCAGTAATAAATTATATTTTAAAATGTATATTAAAATGGAAAACAGGTATTTTAAATTGTAATGATATTCCACAGTATTACTATTATTACTATTTTAGTACTGTAATACTGTTTTTTTTAAGTCAGTTTAATGTGACCTGATGTCTTCTGTGATGAGTCTGAAAATGCCCTGATGATAGTAAGAAATGTTTTTTGATCACCAAAACAGCATAAACCAATGCATTAACTAACATATTAGGAATTAGGACTAACAATTAGGAATATATTTGTTGCAGTATCTTTAATGTTACATAACTAACAATAAAGTTGTATAAAAATATAGCATATTAGCTCAAGTTCATTTTAACTTATTAATAAATGTTGAAATTAAGATTAATAATGTTTTAATTTTTTTTTGTTAATTGATAATAATGCAGTTAACGAATGTGTTTATAAATGTTACCAAAATTACAATGAATTCTAGTCAGCACTCAGCACACGCTTAATTTGCAATTGAAATGAAAACCTATTTGAGAAACTAATACATATTTTTTTATGAAAAGTAGTTGGTGTCAGTTGAACTACATTTCCCATGGTTCCCATCAGCGCTACTTTAACCAACAAGGGTACATTTACGTGCTTACGTCACGTAGAGCGACATAACGTTTTCAAGATGGTGCTTGAAAGTACTATGGTCTGGTAAGAAAAATTACTTTATATTCTTCAAACATCAGATGTAGTTTGATAAACGTGATGTGTTTGAAATATTACGCAATTGTGCAGTGAAGTGTTGTGAATTGGAGTTGAGAGAGCGGTTGTGTTGAACAGAATGACAGATGTGCGGTTTTCCTTAGTCATGATGGAACCTCAGCTTGTTAAACAGCTTCTCTGTGTTGACATGATGTTATGAGGGAAAAACCTTAGAAAGCTCATAGATGCGATTGCAAGGTTGTCTGAGTTGTCCTTAAATTAATTCGTTTTGAAAATTGGTTTGTTGGTTTTAAATTCTTGTAACTAACGTTGGTTTTAAAATCCTTATTTTTACTTTCAATTTGCTAGCATAATAAACTCTAGTCTGGATGGCGTCCTCAGCCTTTTTAATTAACAATATTCCATATTTAAATA